TTAATGGACCAGTGTTGGTTTGTGGAACAGGAAGAAGACAGTTTGGGGAGGAGACCAGTATGCTGAAGGCTTCTAGTAAGAAATAAGTTTCTGTAACATATTTAACTATGTTCTGATGAAGGGAACTTAGTTGTTAGTCATTTTCCTTCACTCTGAATAAAGTTGGGATGAATTTTTATGTATATTCTAGTGCCTTTATTGAGTAGAACTATGAGAAAGTTTGTAATATAGTCTCCAGGACATGATTTTTGGTCTTTTTTTTTTCCCTTGTACAAAGACATTCCTTAGAATTTATGAGAACTTGGTTTCAGGTGGCATCTAAAGGTACCAAAATTGTCTAAAGGTACCAAAATTGTCACATGCTGAACTTTCTTATATAAATTCATGTAGCACTTGCACAGAACATACGCACAACCACTCATAAATTTGAAATCATCTCTAGATGACTAATGCTACCTAACGCTATGCAAGTAGTTTTACATTACATTATTTAGGCAATAATAACAAGAAAAAAGTCTTTACATGTTCAGTACAGATGAGACTTTTGAATAGTCTTATTTTTTGTTAACGTGTGACTTGTATATCTGAATGAAGATCGGTAGCTATTTCACCAGTGCATAGAGTTTGCACCCTAATGAAATCCGCTCTCCCTCTTCACCCTCACTCTGCCTTCCTTGCCTGTAGCCCCAGAGCAATCTCTATTTTATACTCAGATTGACATTTTTAGCTTCCACATATGAGATGGAACGTATATCTGACTTATTTCAGGTGCATTTAAAAATAGTTTCCATCTGTGTTTCATTGAATCTGTAGATACAGAACTCGTGGTTACAGAGGCTGACAGTATCTCTGTCCTTGATCCTAAGTGCTCTGATCAAAAATCTCTTCCTCCTTTCCTACATCCTACTACAAACTTAGAAGTTAGACAGTTTGTGTCCATTATTTCCATGGCTACCGCTAAACTTTACTCACACATATTTGATGTAGAATGACCAACATATTCAGAATCCTATCCTTCTGCAGTATGGCAACCTTCAACTTTTATTCTAAATCTGCTTTGAGTCTAAAATTGTTGTCTGGTATTTAATCTACTTTCTTTACATGCATTCTCATTAACATTACTTATATTTAAAACCTGATTTGTTTTCTTTTTTTCTATCTATCTACCAACTTCTTGGTTGACACCATTATTTCTTGGATATCATATCTTTCTGGACTTAATTTTTTTAGGTTGAAGAACACCATTGGAGTTCTTTTAGTGAGAGCCCATGCAAAATCCACTCACTCTATCTTTTGCATGACATGGTAATATGTAGATGGAGTCTGAAAATTAAGCCTTGAAAGATGAATTAATGTACATACTCTGTCACGGGTTCAAGGTATGGTAAGTATTCCAGATGAGAAGCAGAATGCAATTTCATCCACCCTCCCCAAATTATACCCATAGCATTCATACTAGTTCACCTTTCAATACTTCCAGGACAATCATACATATGGAAGTGCAGAACCAGAGCAGCGCATCTGAATTCATCCTCCTGGGACTTGCAGAAACACCAGAACATGAGTCTCTGCTATTTTCTCTGTTCCTCTGCATGTATGTGATCACAGTCATGGGGAACTTATCAATAATCATGGCCATCAGCTCGGACTCCCACCTCCACACTCCTATGTACTTCTTCCTGGCCAACCTCTCCTTGGTTGATCTCTGCCTGGCTACCAGTACTGTTCCTAAGATGCTGGTGAGCATCCAAACCAAGAGCAAGTCCATCTCTTATCCTTGCTGCCTGACCCAGATGTACTTTTTCCATTTCTTTGGCATCGTGGACAGTGTCTTAATAGCTGTGATGGCTTATGACCGATTTGTGGCCATTTGCCACCCCTTACACTACACCACCGTCATGAGCCCA